ATAATATTTGGAGGTAATATATAATCTATTATATATTACCTCCAGATTTGATTCGGTAACCTATTGCTAAACCATAATGCTCTTGTTTTTATTTTTGAGTTCCTCAAGAGAAATTTAAGGTTTACTCCATTCAGATTCCGTAACCTATTTTATAGAATATATAATCTAATATATAATAATATTAGGAGGTAATATATAATCACATATTACCTCCAGATTTGATTCGGTAACCTATTGCTAAACCATAATGCCTTTGTTTTTATTTTTGAGTTCCTCAAGAGAAATTTAAAGTTTATTCCATTCAGATTTGGTAACCTATTTTATAGTATATATAATCTAATATATAATGATATATAATAATGTTAGGAGGTAATATATATTCACATATTACCTCCAGATTTGATTCGGTAACCTATTGCTAAATTATAATGCCTTTGTTTTTATTTTTCAGTTCCTCAAGAGAAATTTAAAGTTTATTCCATCCAGAAAAGTGGAAAAAGGGCAATCAAAAACGGAAAAAATATAGAAAAACGGATTAAATATCATAACAACAAATAATGCCACTAAAAATTAAAATAACATATATACACACGTTAAGAGTAGATCTGGAATTTTAAATTTTTTCTGCAGTTCAGTGCCTGGTAGACTTAAATAACTTAGTAGCCACTTTTTCCTCTAACATGATGAGTCGATAACCGATATCGATAGGCCCTTTTAATTTAGCCACTTTTTGCAAACTTTTTTTTTTGGATTGAATTATTTTTTTTAAAAAAAGAAAATCATATTAGTAATAATCTATGGTTATAAAAAGTTCATTCAACAATAAAAATATTTTAAATATGTGAAAAATTTAGTTAAAAATGACTTAGGGGAGGAAAATTATATTTAATGTATACCTTACGTTAAATGTATGTGAATTCTTAAAAAACTCTCCTTCCACACGAACCATTCCAGCACTAATGACGGATTCTGAAGAATCAAAATTCTGAATAATGAAAATTCTGTTTTCCAGAGTCTTTCTGCATCGATGTACTTTAATCATTAAGCTATTTATAAAAGAATAAAAAAGGGATGGGGGAAAAGTGACCGGTTGTTTATTTAATTTAAATCGCTTTTTTTTGGGGGGGGGATAGAATCGCTTTGCGAAAAATGCTTATGTTCAGTACTAATATTAAGGGTCTTAAATGAATATTTAAGAGAGGGAAAATTTTGATTAGCAAATGAATATTCTGGTGATTAGAATAATGTGTGAGAAAAATCACATTTAATTTTACAAATAAGTATTATTTTTGCGTGATTGCTTCTCAAAAGAAATTTAAATTTTGTTTCATGCAACAAAGTGGATAATGTAAGCAGAAGAGAAAGACCTTAGGATTAACTCAAAATGATAAATGAATTTTAGTTTAAAATTTAACAAACTTGAATATTTTTAAATGGACTAATATAGTTTAAAATAATATTAAATGCAATTCCTTCATTCTTATTTTATAAACAGGATGTTCCGTTATCACTATCATTAAAGTATGCTTTTATAATTATTTAGATATCAACTGAGGAAGAAAGTGATTTCCAGGGTCAAGCTTTAGAATCAACTAGTTTTTCTGTAGGAAGTTAAAAGCAGATTAGCTTTCGTTAAATTTTGAAAAACGATGCGGGTGTAATTTAGAGAGTAGATTTTAACGTAAATAATCTTGCGAATATCAAAAATGCATATTTGAGTCAGAGGACAATTTCCATGACACAAAAAGGACTCAGTACGGAAATAATCAGAGGTAAGTTTGAAATTGTTTTAAAAGTTTGAATCCAATATGGACACATGAAGTTTGCCCTTTACTAGAGGTAAGCTTAAGCTGCCACCTGTAATTTATTTAGGTGAAAAAGGTGTCAGAATAAGGAACATGCATCCTTGTGTTATGCCGAACGAATAACACCAAAATCAGATCTTTAGTACTAATAGTTCAAAAGTTATAAGAAATTTGAAAAGTGAAAAATATTAATAAATTTCAATTTTTAATTTTAAAAAATAACAATAACCTACTAACGAATCTGAAATTCTTATGTGAACATGTAAGGTATTGTTTCCTTCGTTTTTTTAAGCTAAATCAATTGAAGCCAAGGCAATCTTCACAGTGCTAATATTTTACACATAAGTTTTTACACATAAAAAGTTAAATTTTTTACTTTTATCATTCTACACCTCTATTGCTATATTGGCAAGAGAAGCATCAGATCCAATAAATTTTTTACGCTTAACTAAATAAAACCGAAACCATAAATTTAGAAGTTAAGGTTTTATGTATTGAAAGTACAACTTTGTTTTTCTACCAAAGACATTCATCTGACATTACTATCCAGACAAGTAAGGAATAGTTCCTTGTATAAAAGTTTAGGTGTTACTTGTTATTGTCTTGTCAATACTGTCAATCCTATTTTAAGTCAGAGGGGTGCTCTTCTTCTTGTTTTTCATTGACCTCATCTATGACCAAGAATTCGAATTTTGTCTCACACATATGTCACAAACCGTTTTACTGAGAGGACACATTCACACATTATCCAACCATCCGCACATCGTAATTTTAACCTGAACCAGAGCACCATCAATCTCCGATCCAATTTGTTTGTTATGGGAATTGGGAGGAGACCCCAGGAAATTTAGTGCTCACCAGTCACCATTTTGTACAAGAGGTGTCCTCGGTCAGCGACATCGAACTCACAACCTCTTAGCCATTGGCCCAATTGTATGCTCAATGCCTGTAAATTTGTTAATTTCTGAACTATTACTATTGACTTTGTTTTGATCTCATTTGAGTAAGATTGGAAGAATACAAGGTTCTAATACTTTACTTGTTTACATAATAATATCAAATATGTTGGTCGGTATAACTACGAAGCTGTGCTATTTTCATATAAAAATTTTAATAATAATTTTTTAACTATTTGTCTATATAGTAAAACTTCCGTTTCCCTCTCTTTTGAAAAAATCTAATCTTCATTAAATTCCAGATCGCTTTAATGATATGTTGATATTTTGCCATTCGTTTTCCCATTTGAAACTTAATAAATATATATAAATCATAAAATTATACATCTATAGTTTTATGAATTATATATTTATTCAATTCAAAAAATTAAAACATTTAATTGACAAGCAAAAGTATCGAAGGGAATAACACACGTTTTCATTACAGAACGTACAACTATTATCGTATTACGAGTAAATTAATATCGCAAATACCAAATACATAGATTTAATTTAATGTATCGTAACAAATATATAATTCATACAACTATGGGAAACTTTTAGTGACAAGCAAAACTATCGCATTAAATTGCTGACTATTATAATACAGCAGCATATGATACAGTCATTAATTAATGTGACACTAATATCGGATAATGATGAAGTTAGTATCATAAATACCAAATATATAGATCTAATATTATTCTAATGCCGGGCTTTTTGTCATTTGAAACGTAATAAATAAATAATTTATCAAACTATAAGTAAAATTTTATTGACAAATAAGACTATCACATGGATTTGGTCACTATTACATTACTGTAGAGTGTACTGCAAAATTAATATGAAATTAATATCGCATTGCGACGAAATTAATATCATAGATATCAAATATCAGTTAAAACAAAATAAATTTATTTTTCATAAAACTATGTACTGTTGCTCTATGAATTATATATTCATTCAATTCAGATAAAATTACATTTTATTGACAAGTAAAATTATCGAATAAAATCACACATCGTTGCACTACAGAACGTAAGGCGTATATCGCATTATGAGGGAATTAAAACTGCTAATACGAAATAGATTTAATGTTATTCAGATGTTTCACCTTGTGTAATTTGAAATGGTTGGTTGGTTTCGTATGCCTGTTTAGGCAGAGGGGTGCGATTGCTCTTGTTTTCCAGTGGCTCCATCTATGGCCAAGAATTCGACTTCTGCCACACCATTCGTCGCACCTGTTTATAGGGTGGAGCCATTCATACATTCATCGACAGATCGTAATTTTGACCTGAATCAGAGAACGATCGATCTCCAATCCAGTACCCCCAGAGGTCTTGATTTGTTATGGGAACATGGAGGACTTTGCGACTCGACAGATTTAACGTGCATCAGTCACCATTTTACTATACGGGGAGTCTTCGTTCGGCGGGGTTCGAACCCACGAACTCTCGGACATGGGCCCTGCTCCCTACCGACCAGGCTATCCCGGCCCACCTAGTGTAATTTGAAATGTAATAAATATATAATTCATAAAACTATAGGTAAATTTTATTGACAAGCAAAATTATCGCATGGAATCGCTCACTATTACATCACAGAAGAATATGGCAGCAAAATCTATGCCACCACAGTAAACACATTTCAATAATGATAGAGACATAACTTAAGTACATACTTCATTTAAATCTGATTTAACACTTACTGCTTAAATAATCCAACATAGTATCACTAACTTAAATAATAGTCCAATATTTAATAAATATAAAGTTAAAACAACAACAACAAATACTAAATAATTCTTATACACTATCCAAAAAATCCATAAACATATAAAATCATTCATAAATATAGACATTATAAGAGATTTTTTTTTACTGCAAATTTACATCATTTGTGCAGCAAACAAAAAATAACGCCACATGCCTAGCCTGTCTTTGATACGAAAAAAAAAATACTGGGAAATAGCTCATCAAAATTTAAATGCATCCATGCAAATTTGATAACTTTTTTTTCAGAAAATAGAAAAGTGACTTCAGATTACAACACCTGTTTCACTGAATATTGTAGAAATGAACATTCAAAATAAAAAAATTAATAATTACGTTGCACATTGCAGCAAACATATTTATTATACTTCACTATTTAAATATTTCCGGATTATTTTTGCACTATATTTAACCCTTTCGCGCCGACTGTCACAAATACGTCCCAGCATACAACCGTATCAATCAGGGTAAAAAGATAAAACTGGTAATCAAAGTATTTATTTAGCACTTTATTTGTGGGCGGAGTTATAATTGTTTGATTTATTTAATTCACCATTACTTTGTTCAAAATAAAACTATTTAGTTATACGTTGAGTTAACACTGATTATATGTATGATTAAACGAACAATAATTAAAGTAAAAGCAAAGTAAGTCGATCAAATTAGCAACGACTACATTTAAGTTACCGTTTTTTATTTAATTACAACTTGATTCTGATTTTGTAAGAATGCTTTTCTGAATCACCCGTCCCCAAGGGGTTAACATTGGACGAACAAAGTTTGCTTATAAAGAATAGATTTTTGATTTCTAGTTTATTGGAAACTTGTTGATCAGTTATGTCTACGCACATTCAGCAGTTAGCGCCCTAATTAAAGAGCACAGTTTTATAAAACATTAAGCAAAAATATCAATTTATACTTTTTGTTTCGTATACAACAAAATAGGTTTATAAACTCTGTTTTAAGAAGTCTTGTTGAGATCATTGTGCGTGGCATCTCTTTTCAAATATATATATAAATCACAGTCGACATAAAATAGAAGCAGTAGTCTCAGATTTGCTTCTACAAGTAATCTGCAAATTATGTGAAACGTAAAACAGTAGAAACTAAAATTTTAGCACAAGTTGGGGACAATAATATTTTTTTTCAATAAATTGAAGGTAGCTCTTGATAAATTATATCTAAACGAGTACTAACCCTTACAGCACTAGTTTTCTAGCTTAAGTTAGGAGTTTTCCTGCATGCAAAAGCTGACCTTTTTCATTTTATTTAAGGGGAAAGTAGTGCTTTTAATGGAAATTTAATTATCAGGATTAAATAAAACTTAGAAAAAAAATATAAATTCATTTTGAAAAAGACAATCAAGCCACTTTAAAAACAATTCTAAACCTTACTTTGTTCATATCAATATCAATTATACATTTCAAAATCAATTTTCAAATATATTTGCAACAGCTCTATTCTCTCACTGTTATAATTGCACATTAAATCGTTCATGGAAGCTATGGTAAAATTCATCACTTTTCTTTTAAATATGTACACCTATACTTGAAAGAAATATACGCTTTAGAATAACTTATGACAATAACACTCGTAGATAGTTTTCCTTCTGTGTATTAAATATTCTCACTTCCCAGGCAGTAAGTATCAAAATAAATTAAGATTCATCATCAGTGAAAAGAAAATGTTTGTCATGGTTGATTTCATAAAGCACCATAAGAAAGATACGAAGCATGGTAAAGCCCATCTGGTTACTCCATTAAGATTTATATTGCCCTGTTCTATCAGAACTTTCACTGGAACTCGATTCTTCTTCTTGCGAAAGAGGAGAAGTTGGAATTCTGAGAACATCTCGAGTTAAACTCCAAGGCACTCTATAGGATGAGTCACTGCTACTAGGTGCTGCAGATGGCGGACGTGAAGTAGATTGGCTTTCGCTGCTAGTTGTTTCAGATTTTTGAAAACACGAATCTATTTTGAGAGAAGACAACTTCTGTTGAATTTGTTGGATTTCTTCCGTGGCAAGTCTTAAATTGTAATCTGTGTGGTTGTCGTTTAGTTCCCTCAAGTCAGGCAACCTCAGGAGCAACTTGGGATATAACACCAATGTATTTTCTTCCCCATAACGCCAGGACATGTATTTTTTCATTAATAAATAGAATTTTTCCTGTTCTTCAGCGACAAGAGCTTCGTTTTCCAATCCTGGTCTATCAGGAGAAAGCAGGACTGTCACCAACAGTAACATAGTGGTCACCTCATCAGGGCACAAGTCTTTCACACTTCTGATGAATTTCATATGTTTATTGTAAAGCTCGGTTGACACCAATTTTTTAATGTCTTCAGCATCCAGTGTTGGTGAGTTCCTGTACATCGGTTTTCCAGTATGCGGCCACCTGGCTAATTTATCGTCGTAAACATAAGCACCGCGGATAAAGCAGAGTTCTAAGACACCAGTTCGCAGTAGAATCTCTTGATCGTGTTGCGTTATTTTTCTAAATGATTCTAGTTTCTGTGAAAAGTTCGTAAACTGCTTAACCGTCGTGAAAAACATGTCGAGTATTTCAGTTCTCGTTCGCCCAGATGAGGGAGCTGATTTCGATATATTGTCACTAAAAGGCACTTCGTTATAACTAGATTCATAGGCATTGACTAAAAATTCTATCAACTGCATATTCTCAGATGACAAAATTTTTGACAAATCACTAACATCTGGTTCGTATTCGGAGAATGGAATTCCAAGGTATGCCTTCTTACTAGATTCTTGTACTTGTGTCGTAAACTCTTGAGTACCTTGTCTCTGTTTTCGTTCCATTCTATTTTTTACAAGAGCTAACCTTTCTTCTTCTGTCATTACCCATCCGGTTTCCATACCTGCAAAATCAAACACTTGGAATAATTACATTGTATACAACAAAAGAACTCATGTTGGATTAGAAAAAATTATCCCACATTTATCGATCTCAGTTTTGGCATCAGATGTTCAAAATGGTATTTTATTGTTAGTATTATTAGGAACCACACTTACAAGGGAGACTAGGGAAGTGTGACTCGCTAATTTTGAAGTAAACTAGTGGGATGCATGCCTTATGAGGCATAATTTTAGTGGACAACATTCGTTTCGACCCATAGAAGGTCCTATGAGAGATAAAAAAAAATTCGATGCATAGAAAAATCGGTATTTTATTACTTCAATGCAGACTATTAGTTATTATAATTGTCTCATACTCTAATTAATTTTGTAGTACTTTCACGTACTATATAATGCATATTTATTGTAAAAATTGATTTCGAAAATTTTATATATCTGTAGTTTTTCAGAAAAACCAGTTTGGTTAATTTTAAAAAAAAAAATTTGCACCAAATTTCTATAATTTTTTTTCCAAAACATTTTCCAAATTAATTGGACTATGAAATTGCAAGTTAATTAATTAATTAATAATTAATTAATAATTATTTTGTTAATTAATTAACCAATTAATTGCAAATTATTTGGAGTATGAGATAATAACAATAACTAATAGTCTGCATTGAAGTAATAAAATACCGATTTTTCTACATATTGAATTATTTTTTATCTCTCATAGGACCTTCTATAGGCCGAAACGAATGTTGCCCCCTAAAATTATTCCTCATAAGGCATACATCCCACTAGTTTATTTCAAAATTGGCGAGTCACACTGCCCTAGTCTCCCTTGTTAGTAGAAAACATTAAACAGATATCTCCTTAAATGTGTTCGTAAATTATTTCAATACCTGTTACCAATAAAACTAAATTAAATTAATTCAAAAAATTTAAAAACTTAACCAAATACCTATTATTAGATTGAGGGTTTGAGACAATATAATGATACGATTATTCAAAAGGTGACATCTTCACATCCAACTGGCTTTTAAGTATTGTTTCTTCCAGTGAGATAATTTACAAGTTTCTGCTACTTCCGACGAATAACACAAAAGCACCTTAATGCCTAGGTGGATTTCACCAAAATTGTTGTCCTCGAAAAATTAAAAGTTCACCTTGTGATTATGTAACGATAGTCTCCCAAATGAATAATCACATGAGGCCCCTGATATACGTGTAACAAAAGATTGGTATCTATCATACGAAAAATATTTAAATAACCTAGTAGGATGTAGAGAAGAAATCTCTAATGTGGAACCAGAATTCATATGAACTGCTAGTCTGCAATTATCAGTCAATTTTTCTTATCCAAACAATTTTGGCGTGTTCGCAAAACTATTTTACAATTTCTTATGCAATTGCATCACAACACAATTGGTCAAGTAGTGAATTATAAGAATTACATGGTGGACATGAGTTTAATATTTTATTTCGAAGGTTGTTTTAAACACTATGTTTACGGACGTTTCTTATATACCTATCTCTACGAACACACGTCAATTTGACGCATGAACCAATACATCACTAGGTTTACGGACGTTTCTTATGTACCTATCTCTACGAACACGCGTCAATTTGATGTATGAAAGAATAATAATATAAATGTAATTCAATTTAGTAGATTTCAATCTAGCACTATTTCTAAATAAATCGTAAGCTTATATAATTCACGATTTTTATTTTTAAAATTTACTTAATTGTTATTTACAATTTTTTTAATTATTTTGGCATGTCCGGAGCAGTTGTATACTATAATAAAAAAATGAATTTATGAGATATACACTGAAGAGCCAGAAAAACTGGTATACCTGCCTAATATCGTGTAGCACCCCCGCGAGCACGCAGAAGTGCCGCACCACGACGTGGCATGGATTCGATCAATGTGTGAAGTAGTGGAGATAATTGGCACCATGAATCCTGCAGGGCTGTCCATAAACCAGTGGGAGTAAGAGGGAGTGGGGATATCTTCTGAACATCACGTTGCAAGGCATCCCAAATATGTTCAATAATGTTCATGTCAGGGTGTGGATCCAAGAGCACTCTTCTGAATTTAGACACTTCCGCAGGCCACCAAAATTCCCAGGCATGAACATTATTGAACATATTTGGGATGCCTTGCGACGTGATGTTCAGAAGATATCCCCACTCCCTCTTACTCCCACTGGTTTATGGACAGCCCTGCAGGACTCATGGTGCCAATTGTCTCCAACACTACTTCACACATTGATCGAATCCATGCCACGTCGTGTTGCGGCACTTCTGCGTGCTCGCGAGGGCCCTACACGATGTTAGGCAGGTATACCAGTTTTTTTGACACTTCAGTGTATATTTATGAAATATTCTAGTACTTTATGTTTCAATACTCGAACTAAGCAACTAAAACCTACAAAATCTGACATCAATTGACATTCTGCGTTTGTTCTTCCTATTATTGCTTATCGGCAACAGTTGTTTATCGCTTGTTTTATTTGAGATAATGATATCGGTTAACGAATCGAAGTATTGTCGGTATATTCCTCTTTATTATTGATGTAATAATTGCTTGTTTACTCAAAATTTTGTCTAAATTATGATTGTTTCAAATTGATACATATCCGTAGAGATACCACATAGAGAATTTCAATATTTCAACGCTTTTGAAGAAAATAGATTTAAATATATATTTACCTCGATCAATGGTTAAAAGTCATTACAAGAGATAAAATAAAAATTTAAACGGGTTTTATAATTTTCCTTACAAAACTGGAAATGCGTCAAAATGACGCGTCCCGTAAACCTAGTGTTAATCAGGAGTTCAGGTATGAATCAGTAATTTCCCTATACAAACTATTATTCTGAAGCGAAAAATGAAGCTAAAGATTCATTTCACATTGCTGATAAATGATAGTGAACACATGTTTACGATAAAGGGAGATAACTTCACTGCGGCAAGATTTTCAGACCAAAGTTTCTAGATTAATAATCATTTTTGTGGCTAATGAGCCTGTCTCACAACACGGCCTGAAACTTTAGGGCCATTATGTTGAAAGGCACTATGTGTGTACAGTGCACAAAGAAAGGATCAACCAGTATAACTTTTGATCTAATGATCTGATCTTCCCGTAAAAACTCAATCTTAATGGTTCGACGGAGGGAATTCCAATAGGCTAATTAATTAGTTCAGAGGATAATATAAGTTCGAAATCAGACACAAAAGCGTACTTTCTCTAAATAAACATACCTTTATATATGATGGATTCAGATTTCTGACCCCCAAAACTTTGGTGGTATCCTTAATCTGGAAGATATGGTCAACATAGTTTGGTCAGGTGAGTGATAATAAGTTTGACCTCTTCATGTCAATTTTACTTTTTGCGTATTTCGTCATTTCTCAAGAACTTATTAAGCGAAATAAAAGAAAATTTCACACAAATATAAAATTCGTTTATTTAACGATAATTTCATTCAAAAAACAGCTTTTAATAAAAAAAATTATTATTTTTATTATTTCGTTTAAAAATAGTAAAAAAAAACTTTAAGTTCTAAGGTATACAATGTTTCACATAATTTTGAAGAATGAAATATTACTTCTCAAAATACAAATAATGAGCGAAATCGGTTGTATAGCTCTTGAAATATATTTAAAACTCGATTATTAATGAGGACTTATTTTTCATAAACAAGTTAGTTCTGCCTATACTAATATGTTTATATACAACTATTTATATTGGGATCAAGTAAAAAACATTGTTTTATTTTTAAAAAAATCTAGAGTTCAAAGTATCAAAAATATGTACTTTGAACTGTGCTGAAAACTACTGCGCTATTTCAAAATATTTTGCTGAATGGTAGACAATTCAAAAACTAATGGTTTCAGAATTCAGATTGATTTTGCCAACATCTTAAAAGTTTCACTACGAGCGAACTGGAACAAAGTGGCTTTTTTTTACATAAAATTTTGAATCATTCCAATGTAGTGGTAAGCAAATCACTTTATTAAACAAGTCAAATTTATTAAACAAAGAATCATATATTAAAACGATGATTCATATATTCAAACGAAGATTCAAATAAAACAAAATATCATACAGTGAAACGAAGAAACATACATTAAAACAAAGAATCATATATTTTATTTTATTTCTGACAGCCGTTGAGCAGAAGATCCAATTTTGGAATTTACGGCAACCAATGTTCAACGCAGTAGTCTTGTAATTTTGAACCCAGTACAGAAGACAAGGCAACTCCAGGATCAAGTATTGGGAGAAATTTTGCCTTCGTGGAGGAATTTTGATGGAACTAACCTGCATTTGCGTTATATGGAGGGGAAAACCACGAAAACCTCCCACGGTTAGTCTGACGGCAAGGAGTCTCGAACCAATGATCTGTCTACCACTGATGATATTTTATGTTAGCACTGCTGTCGATGCGAGTCGGATGCGGAATTCGTATCGACCAGCCGTGGCTGGGATTCGAACCCGGCTCACCTCACTGGGAGGTGCTCTATCCTCTGTGCCACCACAACTCGAGAACCATGCATTGAAACGAAGAATCATATATTAAAGCACAAACATTGGTACCAGAGACGCGATAGCTCAGGGAATAGAACGTTCGCCTTCCAATACGGCGAACCGTTTTCGAACCCCAGTCGATACGAATTCCGCATCCGACTTGCATTGACCACAGTGCCAACGTGAAATATCCTCAGTGGCAGATGGATCATGGAAGCCCCCTTGCCGTCAGGCTAACCGTGGGAAGTTCTCGTGGTCTTCCTCTCCATGTAACGCAAATGTGGGTTAGCCCCATCGAAAATTACCTCCACGAAAGCAAATTTGTCCCAATACTCGATCCAGGAGTTCCTTTGTCTTCTGGATTGAATTCAAAATTACAAGGCTACGAAGTTGAGCATTAGTAGTCGTAAGCCCATAAAATTGGCAACGACGGTTATAAAATATAAGAACCAGAAGAAATTTTTACAGGAAGAACAGGAAATGGTCAGCCTTGCATAGTATAAAGAAATATACACCACTAATTTTTTTCACAAAGTGAGTAAACATGTCCGCATTTCATGTGTACTTTTGTAACCTGAAAGTACTGGGTTAAGCTAATTATTGATATTAAAACTCCACAATTTTCTTGCAGGCAATAAAATGTTTATGTGTATTGAGCTGTTATCAAGTCTGAAAACAATACCTCAAGCTTTTCATATATTTTGGGATGTTCTTGTAAAAAGTTAATATAGACTTACCGATAGAGAGGCACTTTTTAAATCTGCAATACTGACAGCACTTTCTTGAAGTGATGGTGATCTCACATTTTCCTTCGTAAGGGCAGTGAAAATTCTTGAAAGCTTCATTCTGTACTGACCGCCTGAAGAAGGCTTTGCAGCTGTCGCAAGAGATCCCGCCAAAATGGTAGCTTTTTGCTCGATCACCGCATGCCCCGCAAACCTTTTGCCGCCGACTTGTGGTCGGCGTATAATGGTGTTGAGAAGATGTTGAACATTCTGGTGGTAACAAATGATGGTGAGGTGATTGTTGGCTGCCATTTGGAGGCAGGCTCATGGCTGAAAGAAAGTAAAAAATGCTCAATTTAGTTCAGATTATCGATTATCACTGGATTTCAATGATGATATCATGGGTTTGTTATTGTAAGGATGTGTCCCATGGCACAAGAAATTAAATTTATAATAAAATTATGAGACGTTTCATTTCACGTTGCAGTACAATATTGTACAAATTCTCTAAGTAATTACATGTTCTTAAAAGTTGATCAAATATTATGCGAGAACCTAGGGAAGGAGGGAGTTAGTTATTTGTGCATCATTGTTGGGCATATTATTTCTGACATGACTCAAAATGCTGGAAGAGGGCACCGACAATGCAATGGACAGAAAATGGACACCGCTTAAAATACGTAATATGCGTAAAGACTTATTTCATAATTAGAACTAATATTATTATTATTATTTAAGTAAGTATAAAAATTACAATTTTCCAAACTATCAGAAAAAAAATTCTCACTTTTGAAAATTCAGCAATCTTTGAGTTGTATTCCGTTAATTTTGAGAATCATTTCTTCACAAAATCACGAAATTCGTGACGAAACAAGAACTCTCACATATGTGACTAAAATGTTTCTTGAACTACTGCTATACTGAACTATTGCTAACTCGAATGAAGACTAGATTAAATAACACGAGATCAAATAACATCTAGATCTAATTTAGTCACTAATAGTCACGATCGAAATTAAAGATACAAAATAGGCCAACCAGTCTGTAGGGTGGTCAAGAAGTTGATCTCGTACCAGTAAGATCCCGCATTCGTATCCCGTTTCGGGCATGAGCGTAATTTATCTCTCTGATCCTTCGTTCCTTGTATTGTTGGGGTAGCATTGATCCCCCTATATGATGCCCACAATAAAGGGATTATTAGAAAAATTAGTAAATTAGGAGCAACGTATTTTTTTCGAAAAGAAAAAATGAAATTATGAAATATTTCTTTAATTTTGAGAATATTTGTTTCTTCGAACATGTGACGATAGTTATTTCGTCCCTTAAACGTTATTGTTGCTCGAAGCATATGCCAGGAAACGGTTTTGTCAAAAATGAAGAAAGTTTCGTGATATTTCAGTATCCATTTTTGATAGTGCAATAAACATTAAATAGTTACTTTTGAAGTTTAATTTAAATATTAATTAGAAATCTTCAGCATTTATAATAGTGTGCAAAAAAAATTTTTAGTAAAAAAAAGAAAAAAAGAAAAAAAAATATTTTTGAAATTTATTTTAATAAAAGGAAAAGTAACTGGTTATGTCTGTTTATTTGTTTTTCTCCAGTCCAGTCAAGTTCGTGAACTCTGGAGATATAAGAAAAACTAACAGATCTTAAAATTTGAAAAATGCGCGCAAGCAGTAGTTCTAGTTGACTCCCGGTGGTTGAGTGGTAGTGCTACGTGCTCCCGTGCCACAGGTTCTGAGTTCGATCCTCGGGGCGGGCAAGGTTGACTCAGCCTTTCATCACTTCAGTGGGTCGATAAATGAGTACCAAGCATGTTTGGGAACTAAACACTAGGGTTTCGCTTCGGCTGATCACCTAACCGGAGCATCTGCTCCTGCTCCCCAGAGCCCAAGGTCAAGAAAACTGAGATGGGCACAGTAGGCCTTGGCCCTCTATGAGCTGTCGCTCCACTGAGTTTAGTTTAGTAGTTCTTGTTTCCGATTCATCAAGATGTAGTGATGGCTAAATCAAAACAAATATTGTTATAAATTATACTGTACAAAAAATTATGTTTTTTTTTTACATTCGCTTAATTTAAAAGATTACGTATGAATGCTTACAGATCTGCAATACAGTTTACAATTTCTTTTCTCGTTCTTTAATAGCCGTTAATTTTTGATCGATTATTGACAGGTAAACATTATTAAAATCCAGATGGGGGGAGGGCACTTATTAATTTTATTAGAAAACTATCCAACTCCGCTTATAATACACCTTTGTTTATAAAAACTCTTTAGAAACGTTTTTTTTTAAAATTGGAATAACATAAAATCAATATTAAAAGAAATAAAAAATATTAAACTCCGTACAATAGTACACTTTGTTCAAATAATTGCTTGAGCGAGGTAATCCTTAACTGTTATGTGTTGCTGGGATCAATGAAAAATAGCATTATTTTCCATCGTAAAGGATACTGAGTATATTGAGACTGAGTACATTTGATTAATATAAAATCAAATTTGCTTCAAATACTTATGAAGATGGTCATAAGAGTCGACATATTTTGAGCGTTCAAAAATAGGTGTCCACGCTAAAGAATAGACGTCTATTCTTGAGCGCTTGAATCACGTCAACTTTTACCACCTTCAAAAATTTTTGAAGCAAATGAAGTTTTTTCTCATCAAAATTATTGTTCTGCTTGAGTTTGTTCAAATAATTGCTTGAACACGTTGTTCAAATAATTGCTTGAGCGATGTAATCCTTAACTATTATGTGTTGCTGGGATCAATGAATAATAGCATTATTTTTCAATCTTAAAGGATACTGAGTATATTGATACTGAGTGTATTTGATTAATATAAAATCTCATTTGCTTCAAATATATGAAGATGATCATAAGAGTCGACATGTTTTGAGCGTTCAAAAATAGGTGCCCACGCTAATGAATAGACGTCTATTATTGAGAGCTTGAAACACGTCAATTTTTACCACCTTCAAAAATTTGTGAAGTAAATGAAGTTTTTATCTTATCAAAATTATTGTTCTGCTTGAGTTTCTTGGGATATTTCATTTAATACTGAGTGTAAATAATCTGTCTTTTGAATAATTGAAATTCGCTTCTTTATCTTATAATATTAAACCTCCGAGTAAAGCCAAATAATAATAAAAAATAAAAATTTATTATCTAGGTTTGAGCAACCTTTCAACTTTGTACAAGAATACGTAATGTTATCTAAAATATATTAACTTACCCCGTACGAAGAACAGGTATTAAACTATTTTAAAACAGCAATCACACTGAAATAGCTTAATGAAACGTGAAATATTACGTATAAAAACAAAAAGAATTTTTTGACAGTGCATTTTAAATAAATTGTAAACAATACTTTAATCTTCAAGACAAATGAGAATAAATTGAGATTTTATCAAAAAAAATTATTAAGTCACATCTGAAAATATAAGCTAATGATTATACTCGAAACATCGACTTTAAAAAATAATTTAAAATACATATTTGTTTTGTCTATTATATATATTGTTTGTCAATGAGTTATTAGACTATTAAGACTTTTTTCCTAATCACTTTAATTAATTATTTTTAAAAAAATTCAAAATATCACTGATTATTATTTCCCGGAACTTATTAATTTTTACACGAACGCACAGCGGTATTCAGGGAAAGCTTTACAAATTAACATATTAATATGTCCGAATCTATTTTTTAATAAAAATATTTAAATCGATAAATTCTCTTAACTTTTGAAAATTTTAAAAAAATAATTAAGAAATCGATATAATTATCGTAATTGAAAAATGCTAGAGTATTTAGTTTTAAAATTAACAGTTTTCAATTATTTTAAGTAAAAATATTTAAAATATCTTTAGTACAGAGCTCGAAATTAACACTGGTCCATTTTTCTGGGACTAAGGCAAAGAATATACATAGGGAGAGAATGCTAGCTTCGATAAACATAATGTAAACCGATCCTCTTAAACTTGGTATGGTCTCTGTATATTAAGAAAAAAGCAACATTTTGAGGCACATCAGAATATTTTGTGACAGGTTTTCACCCTCCTCTTCTTCCGACCAGTACTGGGGTTGGGGAAGAATTGGAGAGGAAATGAAAAGTTCTCTTTTATTTATTATTGATTTGTTCTGCATTTTTGCACTGTTCATAAACAGTACTGTAAAAAGTAAAGCATTCTCGCAACAGCCCAATGTGTGCCAGAGGAGACAAGGGGGTTAAGGCTCCACAATTTCGTGACCAACGGCATGATTGTAGCAATGTGGTCAGCACTGTGCACAGACTGTCTTTAAACAGGGCTAAAGAGAATAGAAGGGCTAGTTCACTCCGCTCTTAGAGCTGAAGCTACGATTTCTTTCCTCATGACGTCACTGTGTCCACAGATCTCGGAGATTGCAAGCAATGATATTATGATAACTTTGCATCTTTCTCTTTGTAAAAATAAGTTAGACTTTTTCTGGTTATTAGCTTTCAAACTTTACTTAATTAACACATTATTTCCATTCATAAATATAGTTTAAAAAAACTTTCTTGGCCATTATATTAAAAAAATACCATTTTAAACTTATAAAAATATTTTACTAGTTGGCGAAAATGACACTATAAATGCTTTATTTTAAAGGGTTCAGTTTTAACTTTAATTATTAAGATAAATGAAAGCATATATTGACACTTTTTTGTCTACATATTCTTTTATAACAATAAGTTGAGTTAAATTTAGAATCCCTGATTTTAAAATATGCCGTTAACAGCAATTTGTTCATACTTAATCATTAGGAAACATCAACCTTAAACGCTAATTACTGAAACAAAATAATAATTTAGGTTTATAATGATATTAGAAATTTTACAATTGTTTATAGATATTCAAATTTAAGATGATATAATTTATAGATATTTAAATTCAAGAGAATATAATTTTTAAAAGAATCAAAAATATTTAGAATAACTACATTAAAAAAATAAGTTATGAAATTAGGAAAATTTCAACTGTGCACTATATATTTTATTTATACTTTTTACTTACGATTTAATTTTCTTTGACTTTATCCATTTTTTAATTTTTTTCACATGCCTTTCTTTTGGAAGTAACGAGGCGGTTTCGATTTAGATAACGAATTTTTATAAAAGTTCTTAACGATAGAAAAAACGTATTGCTGTTTTATATTAACTGTGTCATTTCGGAATCCAGTCTTTACATAGTTGTTCATTTACTTCTGGTAACATGCAGAAAATTATTTTTTTTTCCTTTTGTTTTTCTATCAGAATTTTTGCAAGTTGCAATCGCGCAAACTGGCATTTCGTTAATAGTTTTAAAAT